ATAAATCCAAGGTCTATAGTTAGTCCATGATTTTTTGTATCCAGTAGGTAGATGAAATGAAGTTCATAGGCTTGTCTGTGAAAAGTGGTTTGTAAATTCCCTTTGAGGATTTGAACTGAGAGATGTGAGAGAGAGTGTTTTTTCTTGTGGGAAATGTGCCCCCACAGGTAATTGAGTATTCGTGTCTTTGATAGATTTCTGGTGTGTGTTCATTCTGGTGCGCATTTGTTGTTTGGTCTTTCCTATGTATTTTCCATCGTGACATTTGGTGCCCTAGATGAGAGAGATTACATTTCTGGAGGTGCAGCTGTAAGATCCAGGAATGCTGATGGTTCTGTGGAATGTACTAATTGTGGGGGTGGTAGAGAGATGTTGGCAGATTTTGCGTTTCTTGTCATGGCAAAATCTCTTGTAAGAATTGGGTCATCTTCTACTATGGGTTACAGTTGTTTGAGGATTTTCTGTATAGGTTCCAGGGATGGGTGATATGTTATAACCAGTGATGTGTGATTCATGGGGGTTTTCCTTCCGTACTGCAGCAATTCTTCATGTGATATCTTGGTGGCTCTTTCAAAAGATTATCCTTGGTACTTTACTCATTTCCATTTTCTTTATATCGCAGTTTATGATGCATTATTACCACAGAAGAAATTCATGTCTATAGCTTTTAAGGACTTGGTTACATCATTTTCAAGCCTGGTAGTTTTGGAATCATCATTGCAGCCCAAGACGCATCTATCTGCATTTCAATAACCGTCTTCATATAAGAAGATATTGAAAGTGACATACTCTGCTTTAATACACCTGTGTCATTGGATTATTCAGGATCCCCCAGTTGTAAATTTACAGTTGTATTTAGCAGGTAAATTAATTCCATTAGCTGTATATATGATTGATATCATAATTAACAATACTTTGTTAGTTCTTTGCAGGTAAGATGTAGCCAGAACATATAAAAGTTGCTTGTCACGTTTTTTAGAAAAAACATAATACTGTCAAACCTTAGCAGGACATTTTATTAGTAAACAAACTTGGGTATAGTTAATCTCTGTAGTAAGTCTACTTGAAATAAATTAATTTATGCAAGGATGTGTTTTAGTTCCCTAGTCTATAAATGACCTGAAGTATTAAAAAAAAACTTTGCATTTTATGGTAATTCTCTTCAGTTATGAATTGAAGACTTCAATTGTTACTTTTATAATATATTAGATATGGCAAACTAAATCTTATTCCAGTACGTTTTTTAGGTAAATTTTAGGATAGGTGTTTAAAAAGAAGTACCATGTTCCTTTTGGCACTTCCAGACATTACATCTTAACCTTGTCAGCTGTACATGGAATATCTAAACATGGCATGTAGAGCAGGGTAGAAATTAGAATGCATCGGGTTTCAAACTTCTGAGTTCATTTTATACTATTTTTTTACTATTCTGTAACCACGTTTTCTTATATCTAAAAGTGGTTCCCCTTCAGTTGTGTTTAACTTTCAAGTAGAACAAACAGTAGTGCCTGATTAGGACTAAACTGCAGAATCTGTGAAATGGGCTGCACAAACTGCTGTCCCATGCAGAAAATCCACTTTAACTGTTCTCAAATCATTTAGAGAAACTTTTTAATAATCATAAAAGGTGGTTGTAAGAAGGCAAGGTGAAAGCTTTAAACATAAGTTATTTTTGATTTGATGGTGCACGCCTCTTGGTTGCAAAATTAAAAGCATCCAGAGAAATGTAATAGGGTTCTTTTAAATACTTTAAATTTAGTTTTTAAATGTTTTGTAGAGTTAGAAAATGTTTATGAAATAGGTTGAAACAAAGTGAAGTCCTTGTACTTTCTTTCCATCAGTTGCTCATATGCAATTCCTTTGTGGAAAGATTAGAATGCATAGTTTTAGTAGAATTTCAAGAACTAGAATTTCAGTACCACCATTCTTTTGCTGTCATGCTGATCTAATAAAGTATAGGTTACATCAAGCTAGTAAGGATCAGATTAATTTAAAGAAAATGTACACATGTTGATATGGAAATATAAATCTTACTAATCTCATTTGTCTGCTAGTGCAGGACTCTTGATAACAGTATTTTTTCATAGCACCCATACAGTCTAACTTCAAAGGTGTTACTGCTCTTCATTATGTGAAGATTCCAGAAAATGTCTGTTATATTTAGAAAGAGGATCCTGGTATTGTTTTATATCAAATATTGTTTGATAGTGTGGTGAAGTCCTCTGAATGTAAACTTTGCAAATTCTTTCGTTAGCCAAAAACAGCAAAATGATTCCTAATGGGTATTTGATGTTTGAAGATGAAAATTTCATCGAGTCATCTGTTGCCAAATTAAACGCCTTGCGCAAAAGTGGTCAATTCTGCGATGTACGACTCCAGGTAAATTAAACTTTGTCTGCTGGGTTAGAGAGTTAAATGATTTATTTATTCTCTCTGTAGATATTAATTCTATGAACCTTATTTAGAGAACCTAATTTATTGCATAGTGCAAGAGAAATTCTGCATTTGGGAGAAATATGGGGCCAGTTTTGCTCTGATTACGTAACAGAAAGTGCATTAATTTAGTTAATCTGATAATTCATTAATTGAATAACTGTTAACATAAAATAACTTCTCTAATGTATAGAGTTGAGCTATTTAGGTTTTCATCAGGTTTACACAGTGTTCTGTCTTTTTAATGCTGTGTATTTTTAAAAAATCACTGTTGGCTAGTGTCTTAATTCCTCCTTTTATTTTTTATTAAAGGTGTGTGGGCATGAGATGTTGGCGCACAGGGCAGTCTTAGCTTGCTGCAGTCCCTACTTGTTTGAAATATTCAATAATGACAGTGATTCTCATGGAATTTCACATGTTAAATTTGATGATCTCAATCCAGAAGCTGTTGAAGTCTTGTTGAATTATGCCTACACTGCTCAGTAAGTCTTTTCCTTGGTGGGGTCAGAACATAAAGTTAAATGTTTAGGTAATGCAAGTTGTTTTTCAACAGTGTTTCAAAATAAACTTCTTTTAATAGGTTAAAAGCTGATAAAGAACTGGTAAAAGATGTGTACTCTGCAGCAAAGAAGTTGAAGATGGAGAGAGTCAAGCAGGTATAATTTTAGCTGTAGTAGTAGACCTTCCATAAACCTTTTAAGGGATGGAACACTACTTTATCTGGGTACTCCCTTGTGATTACATCCTGGAAAAGTGATTTTTTTTCTTTTAATAAAGACTACTTGTTACTCAGCAAATCATGCATCACATTCTTGAGAGTCAGGGCTTGCAGTTTGAAAAGACAACATCCTTTTTTACTTAAGCTGACTAAATTAATTTCTGTACTGGAGGACAAACAGTGCTTAAGTAGATGCCTACTTGTGTGAAGTGTGGAAACCATAGGTAGATTATTAAAAAACTGCTAGTGTTTTAGTGAAAAGTTACATTCCAGGAAATGTTGCTAGAAAACCTGTTTTGCAGCCTATTTTTTTTCTCCCTATCCTATGGCATTTTTGTAATAAAAAAAATTAGTATCACTGTTTTACATTTAACATTACAATAGCGTTATCCCTCTATTAAATATCTATTCTTGTTTCAGGGAGATGCAGGTAAAACCATTCAATAGATAGAAAACTGAGTGTCTCCTGTGTATGGGAAAATAAATGTACATGCTAAAGTGTGGTCATCCAGTAGACTTAGGATATGGCTCTGGCCTTTTTTTTTAAAGGTTTGTGGCGATTATTTACTCTCCAAGATGGATGTTCAGAGCTGTATCTCTTACCGGAACTTTGCAAGTTGTATGGGAGATTCACGTTTGTTAAACAAGATTGATGGTTACATTCAGGAGCATTTGTTGCAGATTTCAGAACAGGAAGAATTCCTCAAACTTCCACGATTAAAGGTTAGAAGAATTTTAAACCTGCCTTATACTCTAGTAACTGAGATAAAACTAGGTAGTAGTGTGTGGATTGGTTTCTTCTGGTTTTTATAAATTAAGTAAGGTAAGCTGTGTATGTATATCAAGGGGTTCGTTCTTCTGGTAGAAAAATTTAGCACATGCTGAGTTTTATAACTCCAATTACTTTTATACTGGTGTTCTATACAAAACTTATCAACTCTTTAATTTAGGTCATAGTCCATTGTGCCATGCACATAGGCTTCCCAGGATACACAATGTCTTCCTTCCTATGAAAGTGTAACACAGAATTACCTCTATACTTCAAAATCCAAGAATGTAAAAAGATGCGTTCTATTCTTGGAGTATAAGAACACAGCCATTGGCTGATATGAAAGGTATAATTTTGCAAGTCTTAAAGAGTACTTGGCCTTTGCAATATCTGGAGGTGAAACAGAAACATGTCTTAATTTATCTAGGAATAAAAGCATTTTTACATACTGACCAGGGTACAGTTTGTATCCTGTGGGTTTTTATTAGCCATTAAACTATATTTTCTTCTGTTTTTAACTCCAGCTTGAGGTAATGCTTGAAGACAATGTTGGTCTGCCCAGCAATGGAAAATTATACACAAAGGTAATCAACTGGGTGCAGCACAGTATCTGGGAGAACGGAGACAGTCTAGAAGATCTGATGGAAGAGGTTAGTTTTTAAGAAAGTGGGATTGAACGGTTTTAAAAAAATAAGCTTCTGTGAAGTGAAGGATGATCCCTTTATTGATTTTTTCTTTTTATTTTATTTTTTTAACCATGACCCTAAAGAATTTAAATTTTACTGTAGGTACCCCTAAGCTGAGAAACTGGGGGGGTATTCAGGTGAGCTGAATGAAACTGTTCAGTTTGGTTTTCTGCTTTCCTTTTTTGCTCAGTATTTGCTGTTGACTTCCAAGTAGCATGTTATTTTGCTTTTGGAAATGGGGAGGTGGTACTGAAACTTACTGTAGATTCTTAATGTTTTCCTTCACAGGTTTTTGCTTGTAAATGAGAAGTAGGTAAAAGCTTCTAATGGTTGTTCCTCCCCATTGATTTATCTCCCCATAGGTTTATTAACAAAACTAGGATACCAAGGCTGAAGAACCAAGAAGAAACCTCAAGTGTATTGACACGTAAAGAAGCAGCTGTCCTGCCCCAGTTCTCCTAAGAAAATCCGCTGTGGGCAGAGAACGATGATGATGATTTAATGGTGTTTACTTACTCCTTTACAGGATACCTTATTTAAAAGTTTTGTGTGTTGTTAAATAATTTTACTCATGAATACAACTACTGTGTTTAGAATGGGCAAATTTTTTAATACCTTCATTTGATGGAAATCATAGACAAATTCCAAATTTTTTACCCTGCTTGGAAAATTGGAGCTTACAAAGCCACGTGGAGCATCATAAAGTCTTTCCAGTTTATTATTACAGGCAAGGTAGATCTTCGGGACACTCTTGTATAGGCAAAAAATACATGCTGATACTGTTGAATATTCTTACATGCATGTTTCCCTTTTGAATAATTGGTGTTAAGATGCTCTATGATTTTTCTGTGTTGCAGTTCAGATGCATTTGAGTAATGCATTGCATCTGGTATCTCATTTAAGCAACACTTTCTTCAAATTTTTTTTCCCTGCCATCCCTTTTACCTTCCTTTCCATAATCCATTGTCTGACTTCCCATATCTCTTTTTCCCTTAACTTTTCAACCAAGAAAATTACTGTATTTGCAAAAACTTTTGTTTTCAGAGGATAACAAGTTTGCTTGTTAGAGATTTGTTGATTTGTAAAATTCTGCAAGACAATGTATACAATGCTTGTCCTATATATTAATGTTTCTGTATTGGGGAAAAGAAGTCCTTTGGAAAAATGAAGATTTCTTTCAAGCTGAAAAAATGAGGACCCTTCAGCCAGTATTTGAAGACTTACCACCATGATATCTGCTTTCTTTTAATTTTGTCATTCTACTAGATTAAGATGAGATGACAAAAACTCTGCTGGAGATTACCTTGTGGAGTTTGTGTAATCTACCTCTAGTTAAGTAGCTATGGAGACAGTAGCCACATGGGTATTCTGTTGCTGTTTTGCAGGTTCAAACGTTGTACTACTCAGCTGATCACAAGCTGCTTGATGGGAATCTTCTAGATGGACAGGCTGAGGTGTATGGCAGTGATGATGACCACATTCAGTTTGTGCAGGTACAAATTGCACATAGTCTGAGGTAATCTCAGGTTAAAAAGAAACAGCAAATGATTAGGGCAGTTTTATAGCACGCCTAAATACATAGTATACTGTAGTGAAGGAAGCAGCAATAGACTAATGGTAAAAGGAAATGGGGAAAGCATTTTATGGAAAGGGATATTCTGACATTAGTGGCTCGTTTTACTTCAACTAGTTGTAACAAATTTCAAGTCTAAATATATGGTTCTAAAAAAAAAAGTGAAGAACAAAGGTTGAAAGTGTGCATCCACGCTGCGTAGTTTATTTTTGTAGAAAGGGGGGGGAAATTTAGTTTACTGTTAAGTGAGTGAGAAGGGTACAGTATTAGGGCTGTACATTTCCTATGGATATAGAAAATATGGATGCCACAATAGATGGACAGGTGGCTACCAAAAAGTTTTCAGACATTAAAGAATTTGGAGGATTTTTTTTTAACATAAAGTCTAACAACAGCAGGAGTACTGTATTCTGATTTCTAAGTTGATCCCACATGGGAAAAACAATTTTTCCCCAGACATAAGTAAATAACTACAGATAAGAACACTGAGCTGCTATTACCCGTACAATATCCCACTGGAGATTGTGGTAAGCAAGTAAAGTATCCAGAGGGTAAAATGTACAACGTAGTAGAGTACTAGAATAAAAACTGCACTGAAAAAAAATCTGAATTGGCGTTTTCCTTGCATGTACAATGAAGGGGGCTCATACTGAGATGGGGACTCAATCAGAAGTGGATCCTGTGTATAAGTAAAAAGTATGTTTATGGTTCTTGGGTAGGAAAAGAACGTAGACTTACACACAAGAAAATACAGTAATTTCTTTTCGTTTTGAGGCCAAATGGTACACTGTAATAATAAATTAAGATTTGTACCTACTCAGACTTGGCCTTAAACTTTATTTGCAAGTCGAGTTTAATTGTAGGTTTGTTTACATGCCTGAAATGTACACGATTAGCAGTCTGAACAAGAAGTAGTCTCTTGTTCAGACCTTAACTACTTTAGGAAAGGAACTTAATACACTGGTTCTCAAACCTTTTTTTTGGCGGATCACTTGAAAATTGCTGAGGGTCTTGGCGGACCACTTAAACTATTTTTGTTTTACAAATCAGAGCACACAACTCATAGTTTAATATCAGTAGTCTTACTTTTCTACTGAGATGCATGTGCCTGTTTTTTTTGAGCCAAGTTATGGGAAGTCGGGTATAATGTTTGTCAGCTTTAGCCTTAAGTCACCTTTCTGCAGACCACCTGAAGGAGCTTGCTGACCACAGTTTGAGAACCTCTGCAATAATAGGTTGTTGCATCCAAATTAGCAGTTACTATGTCCATCTTTAGATGGCCACTGGTTTTCATTGACGAATAAGAAGTGGAAATGGAGAAGCAGTCTGATTTCCTTAGCACTTGTTTAAATGTTTTTAATATTTGCTCAGAATATGGATTTCAGAAGTGATAGTGCATTACAGATTTTTTGCTGTGTTTCAGCTACATCTGTAGATACACAATGTATCTAGAATACAAGAGTCCATATCTGCATTATAAATTTCAAGATTAGGGATTCTGTCTTTGCTATATAAAATTAATAATGTTGAATTCTCTTGTACTAACTCTTACTTGGAAAAATAGTGTGGTGGCATCTGAAATAGAGCAATCTTATTGCTTTGGATGAAAAAGTGAATATCCATGCAAAAGAGTAAGAGTGGATAAATAACATGAGCAGAGAGAATTTGAAGCCAAATCAAAGTCTTAGTTCCTCAAATTTCAGAAACATTTAGTTGATAGATAATCCACTTCGGAATTTGAATGTTTGGCTCAAGTTCTGAAGGCAGAGTTTGAAAATGTAAACTTCCAGTTCATGAACTAAGCCTGTGATGGAATGTGTATTTTCATAGATCTAAAAGATGTAGGATGTCTTAAAAATCCTTTGTCTAATGGAAATGCATGCTTGGCTAAAACTGAATTTGAAGGCATGATTTCTAAACTGAGACAAAGAATGACTTAGTAATGATAATTTGAGATTAAATAAATGTTCAGATGGGAGCAAACCCTTTTTGGATGTTGCTTTAAATATCTGAGCTGTTCTGTTCTTTGAAATTTAGGTGTGCTATAAATAATGCTCTGCAGAGGTAAAAAATGAGCATTTTCCTCAATGATACAGAGATTTAGTTCAGAGAAGTAAAGGTAGATCAAGATGTGGTCTTATGGCTAGGCTTCTGTAGCTGCCTTTTGATTTTGCAGAAAAAACCACCACGTGAGAATGGTCACAAGCAGATAAGTAGCAGCTCCTCTGGAAGTCTTTCTCCAAATGCCACTGTACAGAGCCCTAAGCATGAATGGAAAATCGTTGCTTCAGAGAAGACTTCGAGTGAGTGCCTCAGTTTCTTTTATTTCATAGGGTTTCCTGTTGCTCTTGAAGTATATGACCACCTCATGAATACTACTGAAATCATTTCAATATGCCTATAATACAAAGAAGTATTGTCTCCATTTTCTTGCCTGAGTCGAGATCTAAGACACATGGACATATGCACAAGAAATATGTAATAGAATGGAAGTCAAAGCACATATCACTTGAATTCCAAGTCCTTAAGCTAAATGTCCCATTTGTCCTTATTGAAGTTTTGGAGCCTGTTTATAGAATCTCTAGCCATGTAGGGTCTTACCTTGGAAGCCTCTAGTTGGTGTTTAAAAATAGTAGTTATTTTAATTGTTGTGGGTTTTTTTCAGATAATATCTACCTGTGTCTTGCTGTTCTGGATGGTGTATTTTGTGTGATCTTCCTTCATGGACGGAACAGTCCTCAGAGCTCTCCAACTAGTACTCCACGACTCCTGAAAAGTCTGAGTTTTGAGATTCAACCAGATGATGTTATAGAGAAGCCCATGTCTCCTATGCAGTATGCAAGATCAGGATTGGGAACAGCAGAACTTAATGGCAAGCTAATAGCCGCAGGTAAAAAAAAAAAAAAAAAAATAATGAAACAAAAAGCCCACTTTTTTATTTTAAATCAAAAGTTTGCTTGGTTTAGAAAAGAATATGAATAGCTATACAGCATTTTTCATAATGAAACAAATTTAACCCACAATTTTAAAGATCTAACCTTAGAACAGTTAATGTTCCAGGAATCAACATTTAATTTTATGCTTTCTTGTTTCTGACTCCTTGTACCTTATCGTTAGGTGGCTATAACAGAGAGGAATGTTTGCGCACAGTGGAATGCTACGACCCCCAGAAGGACTGCTGGAGTTTCATCGCACCTATGAGAACTCCAAGAGCTAGATTCCAAATGGCTGTTCTAATGGTATGTGTTGTGTAATGGGACAGTATTGCATATGTTTACAGGGGTGGGGGCTAGATGCTTAGGCATGCACCTTTTAAAGTGTAGAATTTGGATTATGCAGGGAGAGGGAAAAAAAAGTGAAATAACTTGGGTATTAGATTCATGCAAGCATTTACTTGAAACTTGAAAGAATTAAGAATTTCTATGATGATTTCAAAAGAAATGATGTAGGCAGGCAATGGTGTAATAGGCATTCTCCATGTTACAGGAATCATGCAATTAACTGGTTAATTGCACAATAAAAAATTCCAGACTGCTGTAAAGTTGGACCTCAAAATATGTACTACAATAGCTGGTTGCTATGATCTTTAATTTGCACATGTAGCAGGATCTCCTGTATGGCTGGGAACCCCACTAGCTGTGGGTTCCCAGCTGCAGGGGTGTATGTTGCCCAGCCAGGGCTGTGAGTACTGACACTGGGTCCCTCCCTGTACTGTGCCTCCTGATGGTTTCCTCCCCCCAGTGCATGACACCCCAGGGGTGAGAAGATTGCTGCTTACACTGTGATCTCCCAGCTACTGGGGGTGGGGTGCCCCCACAGCTGGGTGCCGCTTGGCTGAGGGGGCTCCCTGCTATGAGAGCTTGCTGCTTTGCTTGTGAAGAGACAGCCTGGGATCAGATTCCCCCAGTGGGATCTAATGCATAATCCCGCAGTTGTGCCTCTTGCCATGCACGTGTGGCATGACAGGAGGTGCAATTGTGTGAATTGCACATGAGATTCTATTGTGTCTTTACCTGCATGTGTAGAGGCCATAGTGTCATATCCCAGTTGGTAGTACAGTTAGTGTATTAAGTTCCATATATTTGTCATGAGGCCTTCTAGTCTTACTGAGCCAAAAGTAAAAAAAAAAAGCACCAAACAGACAGTTTCTCAGTTGGATAGTTCCCTCTATCTTACAGTAAGAGGCAGTCGCCTACTGGAACCTACTGTGCAAAGCTGATTCCTTAGACTTGAGGAAACAGTTAATTTCATCAGTTTTGCAGTGTGCTTCTTGGTACCATGGTTAGTTGAAATGTTTTCTTAGCAATGATGATGTTTTCTTTAAACAGATGTAGAAATGTCTTGGGAGATACAAAACTGTTTTTGAAATGTAACTGAATTTCCAGTAGTTGAATAGTAATAGGCCCAGCTTTGTTTGGTATCAAAATATCTATCTCTCTTATGGCAGGGGACAGCAACCTACAGCCCATGGGCTGTATCCAGCCCACAGAGCAGTAGTTTTGGTGCAGAGCTTTACCCTCAAATATTGTATGAAACTTTTTTTCTTTCCTCTGTTTAGGGACATCTGTATGTCGTAGGTGGATCAAATGGCCACTCAGATGACTTGAGCTGTGGAGAAATGTATGATCCAGAAATAGATGACTGGACTCCTGTTCCAGAACTGAGAACCAACCGTTGCAATGCAGGTAATGGCTGTTTCATTGCTGGTTTCCTGTCATCTCCCTATTTCATTTAGTAGATCACAACAATTCTTTTTCAAATTATTTTTTTTAATCAAAACAGGAGTATGTGCTCTGAATGGAAAGCTGTATATTGTTGGTGGCTCAGATCCTTACGGTCAAAAGGGACTTAAAAATTGCGATGTGTTTGATCCTGTAACAAAATCTTGGATGAACTGTGCTCCCCTTAACATTCGTAAGTCTGCATTGTACTTAAAAGCAGATCTCTTACTCTGTTGCCTACCTAGATATGCTTATTTCTAATGAAAAAGTCCATTGTTACGATGACATACCTGTATTGCAAATATCATGGTTGTAGATGACTTCTGACTGGTTTTAACTGAGTAGCATCTATTACAGGTCGACATCAGTCAGCAGTATGTGAATTGGGTGGATATTTATACATAATTGGAGGAGCAGAATCTTGGAACTGTCTGAATAGCGTGGAGCGCTATAATCCAGAGAATGACACCTGGATGCTAATTGCTCCTATGAATGTGGCTAGACGTGGAGCAGGAGTGGCTGTTCACGATGGTAAGCTTACAGGTTTTTCAGATAAGACAAAGTTTGCCTAAGAAATTAAGTCTAACTTGTGACAGGCAGACTTTTAATAGAACAAGGTAAATTGCAAAGCAAAATAACTGTTAGTGGATCTGTCCTTGCTGATGCTTTCTGGCTTTGACTTGTAGCCTTCACTGAATATGCACCATCAGAATTTTCTGTGCTGATTTTTTTTT